GAGAGAGAGAGAGAGAGAGAGAGAGAGAGAGAGAGAGAGAGAGACTTTGTGATCAACTGACGGGATGACGGATAGAATGACAAGGAGAAAAAAAAAAATTCTGTATATGATACGGACTGTTCTAGGCAACTGAGAAAGCATAGGAACTGTTCAATTATTAATCAAGAGTTTTATGTTATATAGCTAGTTTAAAAATTAAGAAGATCGGCAAAATAAGAAGAAAACTTATCCTAGTATCATAAAATTATCAAATATACAAAAATTTTAAGATAATCTTTCAAGACGCTTCAAGATTTAATTATAATAGGAAATGGTGGAAAGTGTATTTTTTAAACTGAATTTGAGATATGACTGCATGATTCTAGGCGTGTGCTATAACTTGCATTAGGTAGGTGTAAGGAACAGCGAACACAAAAGAGGGTCAATGGCAGCTTTATCTGATTGCTAGCAGTATTATGTCTTGGTCTATAAATAATAATAGGCCTATTATTGATTACAATAATTTTGTTTCCTGTTTTTCACAAAGTGGAGAGCACAATAATTTCAAATATAAAAAAGAGATAACAGCACATTTGGACTTTTCGAATGAGATCAAAACTTATTATTATTGATGTACAGTACAGTCTTTGTTAGCTTGTGTCGTTGCGTTCCTCTGTCCTTATCAATGAAGCGATCACTCAGCAGCCGTTCATGGTGATGGGCAATCATATTGACATAATTTTATTCTACATGCCTCCCTTATAATTTGATGGACATGGGTATGAGGCTCTACCAAGGAGTTTAGAACTACTTTTAATCTCCTTGGGCTCTACCTAACGAATCATGTCTTGGCTGTAAGCTCAGGCGGTAGGCTCATGCGAGTTCGATGCTCGGCAAAATCAAAGTCGTCGAGAAGGAGTTCACACCTGGGCGTGATCCCTTTGTCCCTTGCGTCTGGAGCAAACTTGTACTTTTCTTGTAGGCCTACCTCGCATCGAGATTTAGCGCGGAGATGTAATCCCATGCATGAGCGTAGACGACCTTTGAAGTTTTTTTTAGTTTTTTGGGGGTTTTTTTTTTGTTCAGCAAAGTACGATAGGGAAAGCGATGTTTTTAGTCCATTCGCACTTCAGAGGGGGATAATGTATCTTAGGGATGACTAGTGCAGTAAATTTTGTTGTTGCTTTGTTAAGTAAACCGGAATTATAAATTGTAGGTTCTTAGGTGAGGACTACAACAATAGATTTAGATCTAAACCGAGTATAGTTCTATCAAACAAGACTCAAACTCTTATCCACCCACCCTACCCCCTCCCCTTATCTGATATGGTTTGGTGTTTCTTTAACACAAAATATATTAATCATTATTGTTGTTGGGTATTGATTTCATATTTTAATGGAGCCTCTCGATGTATTTACATTTAGACAACAGTAGAATTATTTATAGTAATTAGGAGATGGATGGGCTTAAAACATAAAAAAAAGCTGACTGACTGATTGAACTCAATACGCTAAGGTGTGTTATATGATTAGTAAATATATGAAAACAAGATACATGTAGAAACCTAGACTCTAGATTTTGTCCCGTCAAAATAACTTTAGGTCTGCTGTGCATAGCATCTAATTTGCACACGTAATGGAAAGCAATACATGTATATACTTTAAATAAATTAAAATGTATAATATGTATGTATATATATATATATATATATATATATGTATATATATATATATACATACATATATATATATATATATATATATATATATATATATATATATATATATATATATATATATATATATATATATATATATATATATATATATATATATATATATATATGTATAATCAGTTTAAGTGATTTTTTTCCAATGGTTACGCTTATAGACGTGTCATGTGTCCTTTGCACTACAAACAATTTTTATTATTGAAGGCAACAGCTTTTCATATTTAGGGGCTATTTAGACTTTTAAAAAAAAATCTTGTTAAATCTGGAACAAGTCCCTCTTATAATAACCAAATGCAGAGTTGAAGAAGGGGACGCCATGGATTCATATTTGGGCCATCTTGTCTGAGTATTCCTTATCACGCGAGGGAGTCTATATTATGTCTTGAGAGCAGTTATTTATAAGGCTCATAATATGAATTATTATTCTAGGCGACACGTTGGTTTGGGGTTCGCGGGTGCCCTGGTGTGATTTGTTCTTTAATTCTTATCAATTATCATAATCACCTTTATCTCTCCTTCTATTCTGTGTATGTTACTGTCTTGTTGGGCCTAACACATCTGATCTTCGTCATTTATTTGACCGAATGTGTTGCAAGTGCAGTAAAACTCATACTTAAATAATTTAAACCGGAGTATTCTGTAAGAGTCTATCGGACTTGAAGGTAATTCTGTTTGAAGGCCAATTAAATACTATTATAATCCTTGGCGACAAGTTGGTCAAATAGAGACCTTGGGTGGTTGTATCATGTAGACCTACTTAGTATTTAGGCACCACACCATGTTGTTTGGCGACTGGCTTTACCTCCGCCCAGATCGATATTACATATGTATTATAAACAAAAATGTTGAAAAGCCCTGGAGGTAACAGGGACGCAGCTAGCCTATTTGGAGACTTCATAATGTCGTTACGATACCCCGTTGGGCACACAACATGCTTAGGAACTTCTACAGCCAAATACGGACAGCCAAATACGGAGTGTCGATTGGGTGGGGGCAGGGGGGGGGGAATCGACAAAACCGTGGAGTAACTATATATGGAGAGGCCCTAACGTTGCGTCGCCCGCTCAACAGTTCCAACTAAGTTGAAGCCGAAGGGGTGGAGTTTATCGGGCCTGCCGCCATCTTTGTAAGTTCAAAACAATGCAGCGTACGCAGCGTAATCTCTTTTCAAAACAAGCTGCTCAGACTCCATTGTCTCTCGAAATTTCTTTGTCAATGTTTATTACAACATTATAAGCACTCACGTACAGTAGTAATAATAAGGATGTTAAGAAATCTTACTTGCATCAAATTACCAGCTCACTTAGTCGAATATTTACAGTAATAAATGTATTATGTATACACATTGTGATGGTAAGATAATTTTTTTTACATGTTTTAGAGACGAAATTGGGATAATAAGGATCAAAACAAAAATATAAACGGGATAACAAAATTTGCAAACTTTTCGGTCATAGAACTTCATCAGTGCAAAATGATGTCATCACTGACATTATTTTTTACATAAACGTAGACTTCTTGACTTAAACATAGAACAAAATATATTTCTAACAAAATTGAAAATGATTACATGACACAAAAGATGGTAGTGAGGGTGGGATGGGATGGGCGAAGAATGAGGAAGGAGAGAGCAAGGCAGTTAAAAGTGAAGTATGATGGAGGAATTCCCCCCACCCCACCCAAC